CCCCGCCTCTTCGACCTGTTTGTTTCCTCTCCACCTATCCTCTCCTCTATCCCTCTTCTATCCGCCTCCCACTCTCTCCCTATTTATTTCAAAACCCCCTTCCCCTCCCCCTTTTCTGATGAAGGGTCTAGGCCCGAAACGTCAGCCTCTCTGCTCCTATGATGCTGCTTGGCCTGCTGTGTTCATCCAGCCCTGCACCTTGTTGTCTCTAGTAATTAACTTACTCTTTTAATATTTTTATCACTTACTTGAACATTGCAATTAAAAGATTGAGCAGGAGAATGTTGCTGAAAAGCAGGTACAGACATAGCAGGATGGTGGTTAACCACTCTGGGAAGTTGGGAGTGTTCTCACTGTCATGCTCAGGACACATAGGCTTGTAGGGGTCACTGCCGTTCACCGTGCACTGGCTTAGATCAAAACCTGAATCTTCAATGGTAAGAGAAGACATTCATCATTTGAACTGAGGCATTTACAAACAAATGACCGGAGTACATCTGAAGCAACAATTTTGTTGTATAAAATAGATTCTTTGACTTTGGGTATCGTCCATCCTGCGCTGGTGAGCTGGGACTTATTCTTTGCAGCATCTCCATAATACATTTGAGTGGCTTTCTCTAGACCATTTCAGGGGACCATGACTATTATAATGTCAGATCCCAGGGCTGCCCTGCCCAATACAATGGTCAGAATCCACATCATTATCGCCATCTCTGGCATAGTACGGTTAAACCATCTGAGACACCTTGGTAGACTCACTGCAACCAATCCTAATTGTTACTCTGCTGGAGGAGGCCATTCAACTCATTGTGTCTGCACTGAGGTCTGTGCATTTAGACTTAGCGCCGACCTCCTGTCTTTTCTCAATCCCCTGCACATTGCATCTATTTAAACAATCATCCAATGCCCCTTTTGTATGCTTCAATGGAACCTACCTCCACCACATTTCCAGGCAGTGTATTCCGGACTGTAACTAGTCATTGGATGAAACTGCTTTTTCTTGCCTCTAATTCACTTATCTTGGAAAAGCACTTTAAATTCATGCCTTCGGGTTTTTGATACTTTTACAAGTGAGAACATTTTCTCCCTATCCATTCTGTCCAGTCTCTCATGATTTTGGGATCAACTTCTCCTCGTCAAGAACAGTCCCAACTCTCCAATCTATCCTCACAAATCAAATGTCTCATCACTGGAACCGTTCTTGTAAATCTCCTCTGGACTCTGTCCAGTGTCTTCACGTTCATCCTATAATGTGGCATCCAGAACTTTACAGAATACTCCAGCTGACGTCTAACCAGTGTTTTATATAAATTCACCATAATCTCCCAGCTCTTCTGCTCTGTGGGGATCTCTACTACAAGCCTTCCTCCAGCCTGAGAAATATGTATTAACTATTAACTTTGTTTCCTATCTAGGAGATATTCTCAATCTTGAAAAACAGTTAAGATTTATTACACATTATTCAAGTGTTCAGACATTACATTTGAGATATATGATTATCTCTTGAGAGACATTAGCCTTAACATAAGAGTAAGCTTCATGGTAAGCGCTGCTCTTTTTCAAATCTGTTCAGAGATGTTACTACACACGTCTGGCACAGGTGGGATTTGAACTCAGGATTTCTAGCTCAGAGGGAGGGATACTACCACTGCAACACAAGATTATTGTTAGTATCATGGACCTAGCATTGGAAAAACATGAACTGAACTCAGCTACTGCACTAGGCATACTGGTTAGATCCTCCAAGGCCAGTCTTTTATATTTTTACGGATATGGCTTATCCAATGATCTTAAGTTAGTCTTTTAGGTACTGACTGTCTTATAAAAGAGTTAAAAGAATCACACAAATTGGTGTGTAATTGGTGTCACAACTTATGTCAACTTCTGACAACTTCACAGTCTCCTTTACTGATCTTCACTCTTCATTGCCTGTTTAAAACAAACTGTTGACATATCCTCAAAGTTCCATGTTCTTTGCATTATCAATTTAGTGTAATAATCACTGCATCACAGCATCCTAGAGCAGAACCTGCTCTTCCAAGTGTATAGATTGCCAATGGGTAGATACCACCACAGGCACAAGACACCTACCAGTGCATCATACAAAAGTCTATTGGATACTGGACGGTTCATGCCAGTGGGTAATAGGACTGGGAGTTTCATTACTGTTTGCTGCCTTGTGAAGGCCACAGAATGGCACCATTGTTTTCAGTGCTGATGATGCCATAAGTGGTTACCTATGGGATTTTGCTGTGCTCAAAATGGCTGTCCTGTTCCCTGCACTATAACATTGAACAGTCCCTGAAAAGTCATCTGCTGTAAAACACTTTTGGGCAGGGTTTTCCTCAACTCTGATGATTTCAGACATCTGATGGGAAGGTGAACTTACAACTGATATCAGTCGGGATTTCGCCAAATATCATTCGGTACGGCTGGTACAGCACCCCCTGGAAAATCCAGTCCAACCGCTGCTCATTGCGGATGAGAATACCCTGTTTGGCCACACCATATGCCACGATTGCCAGTACCAGCAGAAACAGGAAGAAGAAGATATCCTTCATCTGTAGCAGAGAAAAAAACAGGAGGGGGTTCTTTGGGGAGTGACATTAAGCAGTGCACTGAAGCATTAAACAACCTCTGAAGTGGCTGAAAAGATTGTTAGCTGACAGTTTGGATTAACACACATTCAGTGCAACATGTCACCTTGGTGAAAGAATCAGATTTCCTGTGAGGAATAGCTGTCCAGAGCACGCTAAGTGGGTGAAACATTCACGGAGTCAGAATCCTCCAGGAGACAGTAGACAAGCCTAGCTTTCCTTTTGTAGTGATTGTTACGAGGTCAACCAGGTGGACCTCAGAGAATATGAGCTCTCTGATTGGGGACGTTAATCTGGTCCAAACAGGGAACCCTGGCTGACATAAGTAAACAGGAGTGTCAGAGGTTTTGTTCATTCTGACAGCTGGGTCTGAGGAAGCTGGATCAGTGTCAAGGACTCTCCAAATGAAAATAAAGGATGGCTTGGTGATGGGATACTGGCCTCTGTGGAGGTATTTCACTTTTCATCGTCTACCATTCCTTCAAGACAAGCACTAATGCCATGTCCAAGAACCGGACCTTTCACAATGTGGATCAGTCAGAGCACTACACACCTTCACTGGAAGAGGATGCAGGGAACCCACACGTACCTTTCTGTGAAAAGGGCACCAGTTGTAATCCTGCAGCACCAGTTGTAGCCCTGCTGCACCTCTACTGTTCTGAAGGAGTCAGTTCCTTCGCAGAAACACTTTAGTGAGCAATACAATCAGCCTGAACCTTTACTTCTGGCAAGATGGCAGCAGGGTAAGTTACTCCATTCAGAGCTCCACTCTGCTCACCAGTTCTCTTTCTCTTTCTTTCTTTGTCGTTCCTTTTTTTTCTCCCTTCTTTGCTCTCCCTCTGTAGTAATTTTAAACACTCCCCCACCCCTTTTAACTACCTACCTAAAGAGTTGGGAAGGAGCTGGGTCACGACTGGGAGCCATGTGGCGCGAGATAAACATGTGGGTTGTGTCCTACAGCGACAGTGGATCGAGTGTGAGCCGGAGTGACCGGTGGCAAATCAAGAGTGGGCTGGAGAGAGCGGGCCGGTAAGGCAGCGGTGGCAAGGTCAGGCCAGTGAGGCAGTGATGGTGAGAGCAAGCTGGTGAATCAGCCAAGAGTGGGCCAGTGAGGCAGCCCAGAGCGGGACTCTGGCAGATGCATAGTGAGGGCTGGAAAGCCCTGAGTGGGACTGCGGCAGTGGAAGGGAAAGTTGGACTCTCTTAAATTATCTCTTTTTTCTTATCTTATTCTAAGTTAATGTGAATGGCACCATGTATGTATGCCAAAGGTACACACTTTTCACTGTATTTTTACGTTGAATACAAATGACAATAAATTATTCAATTTAATGATCCATCCATGACACAGGGGTCGCACGGAACACATAATCCAACAGTCAGAGCAAGAGGTCGAGGGATATGGAGCCCTACAGTTTAAACACACAATGTACACTATGCAGCAAATAGGAAATATTAATGGGACTTCTAACATTATTTGCATTGGTCTATGCATGTCAGATCTGAATTCTTTCATTTGCCCTACCTTAGTTCACTTTTTCCTCCTTCCTTTTAGACATATATAGAATCCCTACGGTGTGGAAACAAGCCCTTTGGCCAACAAGTCCGCACCAACCTTTGGAGCATCCCATCCAGACCCATTCCTTTACAATCCACCTAAGCTACATGTCCCTGAACACTATAGACAATCTAGCATGGCCAATCCACCCAGCCTGCAGATAACAAGGTGTAGAGCTGGATGAACACAGCAGGCCAAGCAGCATTAGAGGAGCAGGAAAGCTGACATTTCGGGCCTAGACCCTTCTTCACTGATGCTGCTTGGCCTGCTGTGTTCATCCAGCTCTATACCTTGTTATCTCAGATTCTCCAGCATCTGCAGTTCCTACTATCTCATCACCTAACCCGCACATCTTTGGACTGTGGGAAGAAACCAGAGCACCCAGAGGAAACCCATGCAGACACAGGGAGAATGTGCAAACTCCATGCAGACAGTCATGGAGGGTGGAACTGTCCCAGTCCCAAGGGTGGAATTGAACCCAGGTCCCTGGCACTGTGAGGTAGCAGTGCTAACCACTGAGCCACCGTGTCACCTTGAACTCTATCTCATTTCCTTGTCTTATAAATTCATCTCTTTTGCTCTTTTCTTTGAATTCCCTCATTCCTTCCCTCTTTCTGTTCATTCTGTCATTCTTCCCATTCTTTTTTCCTCTTCTCTTTTTTTCTGTCAATCTCTTACCTCCTTTCTTTCATCCTTTAACAGCAGCTCCATCAATGACCTTCCCTCCATCCTGAGGTCAGAAATGGGATATTTGCTGCTGATTGCACAATGTTCAGCATTATTTTCAACTCCTCAGATACAGAAACAGTCTGTATCCAAATACCACAAGACCTGGACAATATACAGGCTTAGGCTCTGCAAAGAGCATACGTTTTTCTCTTTGTGCTTTTTAAAATTATGGACTGAAATGAGAAAGAACTGTCTTCAAAACAATATTGTAAAGGATTGCTGCATGTTTTGAAAAGCAAGTCACTGGACCCTTATGGCAAGCGATGTTTAAACAACTACTTGAACAAGCAGGAATTGAAGCTAACTGGTGCCTAAGGCTTCTGTACTCAAATGGAGTTCAGGTTGGCAACAAGAAGTCAATTGGTCTATAGACTAGTGATCAGTTATTGATGATTTTGCCAGCTAACAACCGTGTGATGGGTTCTCACGTGACTGAACAGTTTTGGACTGGCAATAAGGTGCATGGAGAAGTGAGCAGATCTTCACCAGCTCAGGAATGATGTCTCTGTTCCCTGCAGTCAAACACCACTTTCAACCTAAGGAAACCCATTTATCTTTACTTCAGCTGTATTGATAAGTCAGAGAATTTTAATAACTAAGTAACTAAAGGGGTGGCTATGGGCATCTGTATGGGTCCAAGCTATGCCTGCATCTCTGTAGGATATGTGGAACAGTCCCTCTTCCATTGTTACACTGGCACCATTCGTCACCTCTTCCTCCTCTACTTTGATGACTGTATCGGCTTCTGCTCCCATGAGGAGCTTGAACAGTTCATTAACTTTACTAACACCTTTTACCCCAACCTGAAATTCACCTAGACCACGTCTGACACCTCCCTCCCTTTCCTGGCCCTCTCTGTCTCCATCTCTGGTAACCATCTCAGCACCGACATCTATTTCAAACCCACCAACCCCCACTGTTACATTGACTACAACTGCTGTCACCCATGCTTCTGCAAGAATGCAATTACTTACTCCCAATACCTCCACCCCCACTGCATCTGCTCCCAAGATAGAGTGTTCTACTCCCGGACATCCCAGATGTCCTCCTACTTCAAGGACTGCAACTTCCCCCCTCCATTGATTCATAATGCCCTCAACCGCATCTCTTGCATTTTCTACACTTCTGCCCTCAAACCCGCTCCCCACAACAAAAAAAAGGACCATATTCCCCTGGTCCTCACATACCACCCCACCAATCTTCGCATCCAGCACATCATCCTCGGCCACTTCTGCCACCTGCAATTCGACCCTACCACCAAAGAGATATTTCCCTCCCCACCCCATCTGCCTTTTGTAGGGATCGCTCACTGTGCAACCCCCTGATCTGCTCCACAGTCCCATACCTGACACCTTTCCCTGCAACCACAGGAGGTGCTACACCTGTCCCTACACCTTCCCTCTTACTTTTGTCCAAGGATCCAAACAATTTTTCTGTACATCCTCCAACCTGGTCTACTGTATCCGTCGCTCCCAATGTGGTGGTCTCTACATCGGTGAGACCAAGCGCAGGCTCAGAGACTGATTGCGGAGCATCTGCCCTCTATATGCTATACACAACAACAACTTCCGCTTGCCAACCATTTTAACTCCCCCTCCCACTCACTTGGTGACATGTCCATCCTGGGCTGCCTCCAGTGTCACAATGATGCCACATACAAACTGGAGGAACAACACCTCATATTCCGCCTCGGGACCTTACAATCCGATGGTCTCAACATAGAATTCACCAGTTTCAAAATCTTCTCACACTCGGCCTCATCCCATGTCCAACTCTCCCTCTCATCCCCACCTCCTTGACCTGAAACAACATGTCCATCTTCTTTCCCACCCATCTGCCCCACCCTTCCCACTGACCAATCTCCACTACCCCCTACCTGCATCCATCTATCACTATCCCACCTACCTTCCCCCATCCCTCCATTAATTTCCCAGCTTCCCA